TAGGTGCTAGAGACTTAAAGTCGCGAGAGAATTAAATACTTATTGGATAATCAATACCACAAGTTAGATACGAAAATAAATATTCAAACACAAACCATGATTAACTGAAAGAGAGTTTTATTAATTTGGCGACCAGACAAGGTTATACTTCCACATACATTTCCATCGGCCAAACATACATAACCAATCAAATTTCCTCGGATCAGCATTAGCTAGATTTTTCGGGATTTAGGCCGGCATTTAGCGTTAGCAATACAAGTCAACCATTTCTGGGCCAAAATTATTAGCTGGGCAGCTTTACTTAATGAGTTCATCTCTTGGCCCCTGTATGAGTTAGCATTAGTTAGCATATAGAATAAAATATTTGCATTAGCAAGGCTTAGTAGCTTGTGAAACTTTAAAAAATATACGCTGTAGTAATAATTTTTATTTTTAACCAAATTTTTTTACTACGTACGTAAAATTTATATATATTTTCTATGAACATTTATTATAAACTGCACCTATCACTATGATAAGTTAGCACCTATCTTGTTTTTAATTATATTTTATAGATTTTTCTAGTTTTTGTATACGTATAAAATTTTTAACCCAAGTTTTTCACGTTAGGGTTAACATTTAGTTTTAGAGAAGGTTTTGGGGTTTTTACTTAGAACACATAAGTGTAAAACATCATAGGTGCGTTTTAGTAAAAGTCTTCTATAAATTATATTTCAATTTCGTAAAATATTAATTGAATTCTTTGTATTAAAATTTTCTAAATTCTGACGTATTTTTTTTTTTTTTTTGTAAAATAAAGTTTGTTTTTAAGAAATAAAAAATCTACGCGGTAAACAACCTTTTTTATAAATACTTCTAACTATAACTTAGACCGGCTTCGTCTTTCAGAATTCATCTGCATAATCATTTTGACAAATACTCTTTGGATATAATTTTTTTTTAATTCTTCGTTTTCTGTCGACCCAATTAAATTTACTAATTCTTTAATTGCTTTAATTGCAACCGGTGCATTAGATAAAAGTAGTTTCGTATACTGATTAACTTTGTTATTCAGTTCTTCGTGATCTTCCACAACACACGTAATGAATTTATCTGAAAATCCCTGTTCTGCTGATATCTTTTCTCCTGTCAGCATATATTGTTTTGCCTTAAATAACCCAATTTCTGGAACAACATATCGTGAAATTATAGCTGGTACAATTCCTCTTTTTACTTCCGGAAATGAAAAATATGCTTCTTTTAATGTTATTCTAATGTCTGTTGTAAATACCAAGCCTAGACCACCGCCTAAAGCCGGTCCATTTATCTTGGCGATCACGGGTTTATAACAATCTTTAATAGTTTTATAAAAACGATAACCTATTTCAAAGTTATCAGATATTTCGCCTGAGAGTTGTAAATCTAGCCCCGTACAAAAATACTTTCCTGCTCCAGTTATTACAATAATGTGTATTGAAGGATCGTCTTCAATTTTGGTAAAGAGGTTAAGAAATTCTGTTACCATTTCATAAGTAAGGGAATTACCACGTTTTGGTCTGTTTAAAGTTATAGTTGCAACTTGATTAGACACTTCCACGAGTATTTGATTCATGATTGAAAAAATTATTCAAGTTGTTTAACGTTAAAGTTGGTATGATGTACTGATCTGCGTTGTATCACAAGATCAAGTGTGACGGGTTAAAATCGAAAGAGCACAAAGATCAGAATTTAGCGCAGGCTTTAATTTACTTAATATTCGATATTTAAAAATGTTTCCATATAAGTAAAAGTCGTGCTGAAAACTTTTATTTAGCAGTCAAACTGTGGTTATAGTAAAATATCGATTTTCGTATCTAACTTGTGGTATTGATTATCCAATAAGTATTTAATTCTCTCGCGACTTTAAGTCTCTAGCACCTA